AATCAAAACAACAATGGGGTGTCCGTTTTCAGCTCAAAATATTATTGGGGTGTTTGGTTTTAAGCTCAAAATATTGGTGGGATGTCCCGTTTTGAGCTCAAGATGTTAGCGGGATGTGCCGTTTTCAGGTGCAAATATTATGGTCACCTACCTTTTGAGGGTTTAGCTATAGCTATATATTTATACAGGCCAACTGTTTCTCGACCGACTATGTGATCAATGTCATTTCCATCTGTTTTACTTCCAAGAACTTTTTTTTTTTGTTACCCTAAAAAAAAAAAAGTAAAAGGTAAAGTCGGGAGATGTGAACTAGCGTCATTGCACACAGTTTTAAACCATAAGTGCTCTGCCACCAGTACGGACAGCTGATAAGAAACTGTCCGCCTGTGTCGCCGTTCGCAAGTAAGTATGTAGCTACAACAACGTTCCTCCGTTTCACCCTAGAGTGTCAACTTTTGTACCCATTTCCTAGAGGCTGGGTGAACCCCGGGAGCCGCCCGGTTTCGAACACCGACCGTGGCTGCAGCTAGTCGCAGCTGGATTTGAAAGCGAACTTTGCATCGACTGCGCTAACGCGGCTCTTGTGATCCTTTTAAAATTTAGCCATTCTCGCTTTTCGGTAATTTTGGGCGGCAACATTACGGACATCATTGACTCTTTGAGACCATGCGGTTTAATGGGAGAAATGTGAAACGAATACACAACCATGATGAAAAGCCGTAAATTAATTATATTCAACATGGTGATATAGAGAGCTGTAGTGTTGACCTCTGCTACGTTAGAAAGATGTGTGCGAGCGGGACATGAAAGATACAGGTATTGAGATGGCCCCGTAAGGAACAAAATGCTATGAAAAATTTTGGTGGAGGGGGCACATCAGAAATGAAATGAGAATGAAGGAAGAAATGATTGCATTAAAGATTGGAGCTGAGCGTTTGAGAAGAAGCAGACTAAACACAAATGTGGACAACAACGGTGCTGAAATCCTATGTTTGAATTGCAGAAGACTTTTCTTAACGTGGGTTTGCTAGTTACACTCACCATCGCTATGAGCTGCGAGTCCTAGGACTCATCATAGCACTATAAAACGCTTTCGTCTGGAAAGACAGAATGGTGACAATGTTAAATGTTGAATTAGGAATCGACAATACACTCGGGACACCGTCCCCATCTTCAGCAGCAAGCGAAGAGTTAAAATTCCGATGGTACCGGTAACTGTCTGATTGTGTATCCGTCTCGCCTTTCCCCTGAGTGTCGAGCGTCAGCCCGATCCCCTGGTAACTCCTCGCAGTGCCATTCTCCTCAGACTATAACGATCTAAGGAGAATGGTGCCACTGATGATGGATTAGGATTCATTTGGGGATGCCAGATTTTCTAGTATGTTCAGATTGAATTTTTTAAATTTTTTTTTTTATTTTAAAGAGCGCATTATGCTGCGGAGTGAAATCAAAGGATAAGGTGATTTACACACCAGGCGTTGCTTCGGACGGCAAGATTAATTCCTTTCAGATGTTCAGCTATATTTCTTCTTCAAATATGGCTTGGTCATTTAGTCAGATGTACAACTGTTGGAAGCATTGAATTGTTGTCATTAAGTGAGATGTACAACTGTTGGAAGCAATGTATTGTTGTCATTTAGTGAGATGTACAACTGTTGGAAGCAATGTATTGTTGTCATTTAGTGAGATGTACAACTGTTGGAAGCAATGTATTGTTGTCATTTAGTGAGATGTACAACTGTTGGAAGCAATGTATTGTTGTCATTTAGTGAGATGTACAACTGTTGGAAGCAATGTATTGTTGTCATTTAGTGAGATGTACAACTGTTGGAAGCAATGTATTGTTGTCAGTTAGTGAGATGTGCAACTGTTGGAAGCAATGTATTGTTGTCAGTTAGTGAGATGTACAACTGTTGGAAGCAATGTATTGTTGTCAGTTAGTGAGATGTACAACTGTTGGAAGCATTGAATTGTTGTCAGTTAGTGAGATGTGCAACTGTTGGAAGCAATGTATTGTTGTCAGTTAGTGAGATGTGCAACTGTTGGAAGCAATGTATTGTTGTCAGTTAGTGAGATGTACAACTGTTGGAAGCAATGTATTGTTGTCAGTTAGTGAGATGTACAACTGTTGGAAGCAATGTATTGTTGTCAGTTAGTGAGATGTACAACTGTTGGAAGCATTGAATTGTTGTCAGTTAGTGAGATGTACAACTGTTGGAAGCAATGTATTGTTGTCAGTTAGTGAGATGTACAACTGTTGGAAGCAATGTATTGTTGTCAGTTAGTGAGATGTACAACTGTTGGAAGCAATGTATTGTTGTCAGTTAGTGAGATGTACTACTGTTGGAAGCAATGTATTGTTGTCAGTTAGTGAGATGTACAACTGTTGGAAGCAATGTATTGTTGTCAGTTAGTGAGATGTGCAACTGTTGGAAGCAATGTATTGTTGTCAGTTAGTGAGATGTACAACTGTTTGAAGCAATGTATTTGTTGTCAGTTAGTGAGATGTACAACTGTTGGTAAGCAATGTAATTGTTGTCAGTTAGTGAGATGTGCAACTGTTGGAAGCAATGTATTGTTGTCAGTTAGTGAGATGTACAACTGTTGGAAGCAATGTATTGTTGTCAGTTAGTGAGATGTGCAACTGTTGGAAGCAATGTATTGTTGTCAGTTAGTGAGATGTGCAACTGTTGGAAGCAATGTATTGTTGTCAGTTAGTGAGATAGACAACTGTTGGAAGCAATGTATTGTTGTCAGTTAGTGAGATGTGCAACTGTTGGAAGCAATGTATTGTTGTCAGTTAGTGAGATATACAACTGTTGGAAGCACTGTATTGTTGTCACTTAGATGTGTAACTGTTGGAAGCATTGTATTGTTGTCATTTAGTAAGATGTGTAACTGTTGGGAACATTGTATTGTTGTCATTTAGCAAGCATTTGTTTGACAGACATTTCAAGCATTTTTTTCATTTGATAGAACAAGTGTACAAAGGTTGTTTGAATCATATTATCGTTAGGTACCCAAAAAATTTTTGAAGTGAAATTGAAATCTATTATTTACTATAACTGTTCAGTTCAGTATGGTATAATGTCTAATGTAATATAGAAGTAATGCCCCAAATACTTCTCTCACATTACACACACACACACACACACACACACACATACACACATACATACACACACATATGTATACACATAAACAATGTCTGTGTCTGTATCATCATCATCCGTTTTCTTTAATGCACATGAGGCTATAGAGAGGACTTTCCATGCTTTCCTGTCCTGTGCAATCTTCAGTGCAGTTTTCCATGTCAGAGATGCCGCACTCAGGTCACTTTCCATCGGTCGTCTCCGTGTTGTTTTTGGGCCTCATGTTTCCTCTTTCTCTGTGGTATCCACGTGAGAGCTGTTTTGGCAGGCAGATCATGTCTGTGGCTTAGTCGTTGCAAAATACCATGTTCGATCCCTGCTACACGTGATTTGGCAGCAGACTGTGTTGGGTTAATTTGTACAATGGTTATCAAAAGTCGACTGTTTAGAAAGCAATAGCAACTTACTGAATGAAAAATTACCTATCAAAACTACCCGAACATTGACGCAGTTGGTTCTGCGACGTCCTGTAAAGGATACGCAACTAACACATGCAACAATAAGCAGCTCTATGAAACAAATATAACATATAACTTATATTCAGCTTGGCTAAACTACTTATATTACTTATACACATTTAACAATAGACACCCATTTAAAGCAAGTATAAAATATAACTGATATTCAGCTACACTTAACTACTTATATCACACACACAACACACACACACACACACACACACACACACACACACACACACACACAACAATAAATATCCACATAAGGTCAGTAAATTATTTAAAGTATATTATTTCGCACTAAAAAACTTATTTCACATTATAAACAAACTACGATAAATTGCAACTTAAACCAAGCATAATATATAAAGTATATTCCTTTACATTAAATTATTTTTCTCACATTATAAATATGCCCCGATAAACACCAGCTCAAGCCAAGAATAATATATAAAGTATATTCCCTTTCATTAAATTACTTCTCTCACATTATACATATGCCTCGATAAACACCAGCTCAAACCAAGTATAATAAATAAAGTATATTCCCTTACATTAAATTACTTCTCTCACATTATACATATGCCTGGATAAACACCAGCTCAAACCAAGTATAATATATAAAGTATATTCCCTTACATTAAATTACTTCTCTTACATTATACATATGCCTGGATAAACACCAGCTCAAACCAAGTATAATATATAAAGTATATTCACTTACATTAAATTACTTCTCTCACATTATACATATGCCCTGATAAACACCAGCTCAAGCCAAGTATAAAATATAAAGTATATTCCCTTACATTAAATTACTTCTCTCACATTATACATATGCCCTGATAAACACCAGCTCAAGCCAAGTATAATATATAAAGTATATTCCCTTTCATTAAATTACTTCTCTCACATTATACATATGCCCTGATAAACACCAGCTCAAGCCAAGTATAATATATAAAGTATATTCCCTTACATTAAATTACTTCTCTCACATTATACATATGCCCTGATAAACACCAGCTCAAGCCAAGTATAATATATAAAGTATATTCCCTTTCATTAAATTACTTCTCTCACAATATACATATACCTCGATAAACACCAGCTCAAACCAAGTATAATATATAAAGTATATTCCCTTACATTAAATTACTTCTCTCACATTATACATATGCTTCGATACACATCAGCTCAAGCCAAGTATAATATATAAAGTATATTCTGCTACAGTAGAATACTTACCTTTCCTTATAAACATACCACGATAAACATCAATTGAGACAAATATAATATATACAGTATATTTCTTTACACTAAACTACTTTACACAGATTATACACATACTGCGGAAAATACCAGCATACAATTAGTATAATATAGAAAGTATATTCTGTGAAAATGAAATACATTTTACACATATCAAGATTGACACAAACATAAATATCAAAGCATTTTATAACCTTTCTGTTGTTTATCTTCAGAACCACTATCGATCCAGAAGTCCACTTCAGCAAGATCATCCGCCTATGGCCCACCAAGGAAATGAGATCAAATCTCCACAGAATATAACCAAGAGAAATTCCAGAGTCATTGAAAACCTGTTCCTACAGAAGCTCTATGACAACGGTTATGGCGTCGGTTCTGGACATTACCCGTCTCAGCAGTTCCGCTTTGACCACATGCCTGCGGTCTCAGAGTACAAATCCAACATTAGCCCTATTTCAAAGTCCGCCTGCGGTCAAGATATTCCCAAGCGAATGGACACTTCTCACGAAGCGTTTCCATTCTTCTCATTGCCTTTGTTGAAACTGGGTAATCTGTACAATCCTGGTATGATGATAGATAGAGCCTACAACCCACTTATAAATCCTCTAAGGACCGATAATTTAAGTCTTGTTTCCAAGCTTTTACCCAGTGCTATGAAACATTCATCACTGAGTTCATCCATGGTAATTCCAGGTCCCCATTTCCCAGTTCCAGGCATGCCCCATATGCCTGGTCTATTTCCCATGACACCACTATACCAACAGCTCGTGTCAAATTATCCCACATTACCAAACTGGCCACTGTATCCCTCACAGTTCCCACAGAGCGGAGAAGTCCCTGCGACCAACAATCCATTGCCTGCAGCATCACATTACCAAGATAAAGGTCTAAATTTAACCAAACCAAAGTCATCAAACTCTCATTTAGGATCAAGAGGTTATCGAAACTTGCCTTACCCGCTAAAGAAAAAAGACGGAAAGATGCATTATGAATGCAACGTCTGCTTGAAAACTTTTGGTCAGCTCTCTAATTTAAAAGTTCATTTGCGAACACACACGGGAGAAAGGCCTTTCGTTTGCCAAACCTGTGGAAAAGGATTTACTCAGTTAGCTCACCTTCAGAAACACAATTTGGTCCACACAGGGGAAAAGCCACATAAATGTCAGGTATGTGATAAGAGATTCAGTTCTACTAGTAATTTGAAAACCCATATGAGACTTCATTCAGGCGAGAAACCGTTTCACTGCAAATGCTGCAACGCTAAATTCACACAGTTCGTCCACTTAAAACTTCATAGACGACTTCACACGAACGAACGGCCCTTTGAATGCTCACAATGCAACCGAAAGTATATCAGCAGAAGCGGGCTGAAAACTCACTGGAAAACGGGCTCTTGTGTCCCGCAGAACCCGCCCGCAGACTTCAATACACTCATGAACATGAGCTTTGATGACAATGGAGACGAGAAGAGTCACGATTCTCTAGACTCCTCCAACGATTATGACAATGATAATATCGACGTAGACCAACCTGGTGAGGAAGGGAGTGTGCTCACGAATATTCACAACAGCCCGCCTGATAGAAGCGCCTTTGAACGGTGGTCGCATGACTATCCACGGTTCATCGGTTACAAAAATGATAATTTCAGAGAACTTCCGCTCCATAATACACCGTTCCGTCACAGTATGCCAGTATTCACCGGACTAGTAGCAGACGATGTGGCAGCCATGTCTACTGGGAGTTCCCGCAAGAGATCCAGATCTTTTGAAGGTAACTTACATCCATCGCCTACAAAAACTCCCGACTCCCGACCTCTAAGAACATCTACGCCTGTAGGTACACATCTTCTGCCATCGCCAGATCGTTTACAAGATACCGAATTACACCCATCAAGCATCAATAGGGGAACCCCCTTCTGTTCTTCGTCTTCAACCCATACTGATAAATATCCAACAAACAACCAAAATCCCGAAGAATTGACAATAAACAAACAATATACAGTTCCTCAAACCAGCGAGTGTGATAAAGAAAGCAATAACCCAGCGACAACGACAGCTTCAAACACAACTGCAACGTCCAGTCTACACCACCACGCCATGTTTTCACCATTCAGCATGATCCGCAGAAGTCCTCTAGAGCCACAGCCATTTTCAGGAATATCCCCAACATCAGGCATATCCTCCACGCATAGAGAGATCATTTCTACATGAAGCAAATAAACTCTACACATTTCAAGACCATTTCTCACGCCACTGAAAGAACGAACATTTAAGGCTTCATCTTGTTTTGTTAAGCACCAGCCAGCACTCGATGGACCGACATCGCGTCAGCCGCCTTTACATCACTTGACATTTCTTGATCAGAATTTCAAGTTGCATCGACCTATAAGCGAAGGTCAAAGGTAAACGTCTCTCCTGTTGAGGATTTAAACCCAAGACCTTCGGGATTGACAAGCAAGCAACTGGCTCCTGCACTACCGCAGCTCACTTGAAGTGTAAACCTACAGACAGTGACACTTTTTACAGATAATGTATTTAATATATTCCTAGCATTGTATTTATTCCCGTACTAAACATACAGTCTATTTATTTCGTTAACTATGTTATCATGTATGTGTTATTGAGACACTGTTATCTGTGTTTTCTAACCGCTGTCCTCATCAAATAAAGCTAAACTTTTTCTAAACTGTCGTCATCTCCACCTGCAGTTTGCTTCTATAGCATACTCTCTCTCTCTCTCTCTCTCTCTCTCTCTCTCTCTCTCTCTCTCTCTCTCTCTCTCTCTCTCTCTCTCTCTCTCCCTCTCTCTCTCTCTCTCTCTCTCTCTTTCTTTCTATATATATATATATTTATATATATATACATCACTGTGTGTTTTGTTTGTCTTCTCTTTCTTCTTCACCTGCTATAAAACTCCTGCGGAAAGTTCTGGTTGTTTGTCACCTCCGGACTTTATTCTTGTTACAGAACCTGATTGTTATGTGCACATCCGTTTTACAGATCTGCCCTATTGGTATGCAGACTGTTGGTTCCTTGCCTCTCCGGCAGATGCCCACCGACTTTGATAAATGTACCCCTTTAAAGCTGCTACGCTAATGCTTGTTGGCGAGCCAGCGAGTCTGTTCTTATGTTCCCCAAAATAGTTGGCCCCCTAAAAAAAAAAAGATAAAGGAGCCTTTTCCACGCCTACAGGTTGTTGGGCAAACAGGACTAGACGATTTTTATAGACCAATCAGCACTTAGTGGGTGATGTGCTCAGCATGACGCCGGCCGCTTTTACTTCCCATGACTGTGCCTGGCAACCAATAAGGTGGGTCGACCTAGGAGCCAAGGTCATTGTTAAAAAAATATGGCTCCTAGGACCCAAACCCAAGACCTTCTGATCCGCAGGCGAGCATCTGGCCGCTACCCAACGACAGAGCCCTTTTTCCCCAATAGGGCCCACGAAATAACATCGGGAGTTTCTACATTTTCCTCTCACGTTAAAAATCAAGGGATGGTGGGTGGGGGGGGGCGGGGGGGGGGGGGAGGAGGGTAAGTACATGACTAAATTATTTACCCCTTTTTCTGTGTGTGTATCTATTTCTCTTGTCTATATATATATATATATATATATATATATATATATATATATATATATATATATATATATATATATTTATATATAAGCCCATAGTTTCGTCCCTTAGCTCGGTAATATGGATTCGCAACCTTTCGTATATTCTCATCTATAAAAACGTAATTCGGAGAAAATGTGGCTTTCTCTCTTCTCACCACAAGGAGTACTCACCCCGGTCTCCGCGAAATCCGGTTGTTAGCCAATTCAGAGAGCCGGGCATATATATATTATATATATATATATATATATATATATATATATATATATATATATCATATATTATATATATATATATGTATATATATATGTCTTTGCTCATACATTCAGTTTGTTTAGAACTCTCTCTTCTCTCTCTCTCTCTCTACTTCCTCTCTTAATTTCTCTTCTCTCTCTCTCTCTCTCAGTAAAACATTTAGTCACTTCCTCTTTTTAATTTAAAGTAAACATTTATAAGAAAATTATTTATACTCAGTGTTTCAACTTCATGAAAGCAGCAGAAGCATCATTTGCTCATGAATGAGTCCATAAAACGAAGCAGCCGATTGTTGGAAACAAACTCCACCTTTTTAAATAACCCATGTAGTCGAGTTAATGTCCTGAACATTTATATCTAATGGACGTATACCAACATAAACTGTTGAAGTTTGCTCATGAATTTCGTGGTTGTGCGTATAAAACTGGTAAATGTGAAAATTCGCTATCTGTCCACTTTGTAATACGCATTACTGTTAACAGGATATTCCGGATTTGTGTTTGTGTTTTTACAAAAATTACCTACCTTTCTGCAACTTTAGCAACAAGGGCAGATATAAATGCAATTTTTGTTGCTTGCCTAAATGTGCTATACCTTGAAAATATCTTGTTTTGTTTCGTTGTGGATGTGAATGTGACAATGGAGGCGATTTTGAACATTAAAAAAGTTTGACAAAATGGTTCCTAATTTCTGCGTTGTTTTTCCTAATTGTATAATCATCATCATCATCATCAGTTCTCGTTATGCCTAGTGGCACATGAGGCTTCAGAGAGGATTTTCCATGCTTTCCTGTCCTGTGCAATCTTCAGTGCAGTTTTCCGTGTCAAAGATGCCGCACT